ACATTTTACGTATATAATTTTTTTCCAGATAATCAACAAATCTATAAACTATATATTCCTTAAAAAAACTTTTATTAAATAAATTACATTTTTGTCATCAAGCTGGAATAAAGATATAAATTAAAAATATGTATTTTCATATGTGTAAATATGAAAATGACGCATGTTCGTATTTTTGGGAAGCTGTGTATATTGCAGTCAACATATATAACTCAATGTGTATGCAAAGTAACTCAGTGAGTAACTTTTAAAAAAAGCTTGTCAAGTTCAAAAGAAACTTCTGAAGCTTTACAAAAACTCATAGTTGAAGCCTATAACTTTATAGAAGGTTACAAAAACATCAATACGATTTGGAATTCATATATGCGACAAATTATTTATAAATAGAAGGCAGTTGGTATGATGACATCACAATCAAGAAATGAATGTCCTTGAAGAATAACTGCAAAAGCAAGTAGACATCTAGTTCGGCCGGCCCAGGCGAATCCTGCTGTGACCTGTGCGGTTCTCCAAGGCTCTCTGGCCAATGTTGGCATCATTCTGCATACGTCGATTTTATAACGAAATCTGAACGATGTCGGTATTCATGGCTACCCACTGCTTACTAAATATCACAAATAAGCTCGTTTTACCTATGCCAAAGCTCATATTAATAAGACAGAAACGTTATAGCAAAAGATTTTATGGTCGGATGAGATAAAACTAGATATTTTTACATGAACGTTAGGGTGTAAAACTGACGAACTCCTAATGTGGCTTTTGAAGAGAAGAATTAACTGCTAACTTTTAGACATGGACGCAGGAGCATTATGATTTGGGTGTATTTTGCAACAGCTGGAACAGGTAAGATAGTACTTACTAACGGCACAATGTACTCTGAAAGATACCAAGCAATTTTGAATGAGAGTGTCTTTCCCTGTGTTCGAGTTTGGTTTAGTCCGCGATGGGTTTTTCAACAGGACAATAATCTGAAACGTTCTATCAAATGCAAAAAAAAAGAATAAGTTCAAATAAAGACATTTCAAGTTTTGGAATGGACTAGTCAAAATCCTGATCTAAATATAATTGAAAATGTGTGGTTCAAGTGTGTGTACATGCACGAATCCCAGGTAATATTGAGCAATTATGGGAATTTTGACAAGAAAAATGGACAAATATTGACGATCACTGCTGCCAAAAACGTCTGAGAAATTGTAGAAAAAGACTGGTTCACATTGTAACCTCAAAAGGAGGAGTAATCAAATATTAAACATAAGGAATCACTTACTTTAGCATATCTTAATTTTTAATTCATATTTTTATTCCAGCTTGATAAAAAAATGTAGAAATTGTAATTCATTTAATAAATGTTTTCCTTAATGTATATATAGAGCCTTGTCAGAAGTTATGAAAATCAAACAAACTTCAATAACTCAAATATTTCAAATTTAAAGTCATCCATTTTCCCCCTTAGTAAAATATTTCATTACATTTTCTGCCACTTGTAATGGCAGAATTTTAGAATTTTGGAAATTATGAAAATTGACTGACTGAAGTTATTACGCAGATTAAACTAATATTAGTTTAAGACATCTGAAATTTAATATTTATTTTTGTCCGTAATATATACTGAAACACTGGTAAAGGGAAGGATCTAACAATTGCTGAAAAACAGAATATAGCAAACTTATTCAGTGAGGGAAGACCTTCATTAATAATATCAAAAGTGCTTTGCAGAGATCCTCGAACGGTAAAGAAGGCCGTTGAAAATGTTTATAAGTTTATAACTCGAAGTAAAGAAACTTTAAGAACTTGCTTCCTTGAGATGAATGTAAATTAAAGCAAGTTATAGCAAAACAACCACTTTTGACCTGCGCTCAGAACTTTGAAAAGGCTGGAATTGTGGGAGTCAAGAAAAACAAAATGTGTTGAATACTTTGTGAATTCGGATCTGTAAAAAAATCTCCTAGGCATACGCCACTCACAAAATCAAATATATTAAAGCGTAAAAATTGGGCCAAGAAATACATAAACAATGCCTTTTCTAAAGTAATTTTCACGGACGAACCTCGGGTGATATTTGATTGATAGGCCAAGATGGATTTTATCCCATTCAGACGTGCCTGTAGCTACAAGAATGCAACAAGATGCCTGTGGTGTTTTGCTGTGGACTGAAATTGTCGACCAAGCAATATTGGATCACTTAAAGTCGACGAAGCAGTTAAATTGAGCATTGCTAACGATTGTGAACATTGTTATGAACAATAATGCATTGGAGTCCCAGTATCGCATTTGCAAAGTGAAGTGTGTATTTATACACAACAATGCCATTTCTCATATATGTAAGCTTACCCGTGAATTATTTGAGCATAAATGATATACAGGAGAGAAGATAATGAAATGGTCACCATCAAGTCCTGATCTGAATCCGAACGAAAATCTAAGGTAAATTATGAAGATGAAATTATATGAATGTGGCAAACTATATAACACTAAAACTGACCTATGGGAAGCAATTAAATCTATCGTGTCGCAATCTGAAGTTGCTAGCGTAAAACACAAATAACAAAATCAATGGAGAAAAGATTACTAGCTGTTATTGAGAAGATGGGGTCAGTATATTCAAATGTAAATGATTCAAAGATTTATCATATATATTTGTTATTTTTCTATTATAGGTGTAGATAATTTTTGATGATTTTAACACATTTCTATTGAAGTAAAATGTGATTGTTTGGCTTTACCTAATTATTTCAGACGGCGGTTGTTTAGAATACATCAAATAATTACAATAAAACATATTGATGCTAAGTAAAATTTTATCTCAGGTTTTGTTTTGATATTTAAATTGATTGTTTAAAATTGGATAGTTCTTTTTTAAACCAAATTTGAATTATTGAAGTTTATATGATTTATTTAATAGCTTCAATCAGGGTATATTTCAATTGTTTGATTGTCTGGAAAAAGAAACGAGTTTTTAATATATTATCTTGGGAGTTCACTTAACTCTGTGCAACACTATATATATATATATATATATATATATATATATATATATATATATATATATATATATATATAAATACGTGTGTGTGCGTGTGTACGTGTGTACAGTTGTAACAAGAAAGCTGTAGATGCAAGCAGGCATATAGAAAATCAAATAACAAAAAGATGACGATTAGGTTCTGAATTTTAAAATGTTACAAGATTTTTCTATTATTCATACAGCATTCAAGATTGTTAAAAAAAAGGGAATGATCTTTTATCTTTCACATTGCTTTCGTGATTATTGAATATGTGAGTACTAGAAATGTACCTTGCCCAAGGCGACTCGATTCCTTTATGTTTTAAGTCACTGCATGTACTTACAGAAACTTTTCTTTTTATTAAACTATGTTCAAATAATAGAATAGAATTCAACACACGTTTGATCTCCGTACCATTAATATCTGCAGGCTCTCAACACTTATACGACACCTGTTTAATTTTATACTCGGAGACAGGCTGAGAGGAAATCAAATGAGAGATAAATGAAAATAAAAGAACAAGGTATATAACAATATGTGTCACTGACACGATTTTATTTATTTTAGCAGTCATCATTGTTACTTAAAGGTTGATGATATTGTGCAAGTTCTGCCATCTAAATAGACCAGCGTGATATATAGGAAGTGGATATATATATATATATATATATATATATATATATATATATATATGTGTGTGTGTGTGTGTGTGTGTGTGTGTGTGTGTGTGTGTGTGTGTGTATACAGGCTTGCGCTTATATTCCTATATAAAGTTATTGCTGTAAAGTTTGAAGCATTTCAATATATTCCATTCTTGAAATATAAAATAATAATTCAATAAAAATATATTTTACTTATTTTCTATAGCCTAATGTCATATTTAAAGTTTATGCTGAGGAACTCTTCAACAGCTCATTTGGTTCCAATAATGGATTGAAAATAATAAAAGCAGGTATGTTCACGTCATTTGAAAAATAAGAGCAGAAATATAAGGCCAAGGTATGCTCACACCGGTGACTTTGCCAGGATTTATGTATATATATATATATATATATATATATATATATATATATATATATATATATATATATATATATATATATATATGGTGTGTGTGTGTGTGTGTGTGTGTGTGTGTTGGTGCGTGTAGGTGTGTGTGTGTGTCCCTGTGTGTATGTGCGTGCGTGCGCATGTGTGTTTTTATATATATATATATATATATATATATATATATATATATATATATATATATATATATATATAAAGAGAAAAAGGAGATAGATAGATAGATAGATAGATAGATAGATAGATAGATAGATAGATTAGCTCAGTCGGGCGGAAAGAAAATAGAAACCTTGGACTAAAATCACCTATCGAGCAAAACACTGAATTATTTATTGTAAATATTTGACGGTATATGTAACTGAATGTTCACAGCTTGTAGCTCTCTCTTTTCACAATCATACACACCAGCACAAACAAAAATAATACAAACACAAACACATATTTTGGCACATTTTTTTCTCAAGATTTAAATTTTTTTGCAGCTTCTTTCATTTCGGTGGGGTGCTTGCGTTCATTTGAGTTTAGATTAATGCTGTGAGTCAAGATTGAACGCACTACACCAATGATGGATTGGGAAAAGCACTTTTTTAAACACTACGCAATACGATAAAATGATTACTTTTCTGTTTTCTAACACATATATATGTGTGTGTGTGTGTGAAAGAGAAAAACGACAGGACGTGCGGAATTTATTTTTACGCCCTCTCTTCACTTATGGGCGTGATAACTTGACAATAAATAGTCCCTGAATGACACAGTCAAAGATGACTAAAGATTAATGTGTGTAAGGGGAGCCATCATTGTTGGGCTGATAAGATATATTTTGAAAACTGTCATCACTTGGAAATGTCCAGACTTTTCTAGGTGGTTACCCTCCAAGGAACATTCTTTCAATAAAGTAGACGAAAGAAGAAAAAAAAACAAAAACGCTTAACTTAAATCGTGTTTTCGTTTAACTATTAGAATACTCCGGGGGAGAATGAGGAAAAAAAAAAGAACGGTGGACAATAAATTTGCTTCTGATGAGCTCATTGTTTTTTTGTTTTTTTTCGGGCGGAAATGAGCGGAAGTGGCTTTATTGTAGTTTGGGTAAATACTGGAAATATGAGGGGTAACACTCATATGAAAGAAGGACATTAACGTGAAATGGATTTTCCCAAAATATAAATGGAACGGAGATGAGAAATGAAAGACGAAAGCGGGATTATGAGAGAGAATCACGCGCCTAAGGGAAAAAAGAAAATATTATTTTAAACCTACCTTTTGCTTAATGAGGGTACGAAAACATAGGTTGTCATATGTTTGTGCATATCAATATATACCTTAGGTATATATTGATATATTTGGCTTGTATCATTACATCAATTAAGAGTTCGAGTCCTACTGTGTGCTCCATATATTCAGCCTTGGGCCACGACGAAGCTACGAATGTTAATTAGTTATATATACACACATTTACACTATTTACATTTTTAGGAATGTTGACCTCATCTTTAATGCTATATTCACAACTTTTGGGCCGTTGTACGGTACGGCCTTCTTCCTGTGATTGGAATTTCGAACTGAACACTTTATTTTATCCACCGGAGTAGATTGTTCTAGTTCTAGGCGCCATGTTTCTTCCCGATGTCTCAGTTATCTTCATTTAACTTAAATCTCTAATCTTTTTGTCCAGTACTGCAGTGTGCAGGTTTTGGACTCACAACTCTGTGTGTCAAAGCACTGGATCAAACGAACGCTTCTATCCACTGGATCATGTATTCTTGTGAAATAACTGAGGCAACAGTTTACAGCTTCTTCCTAAATACACTGAAGAATATACTCATGCATTTAAATATCCATCATGCTTAATCCAGAGGAACTTAAAAAAACAACATCGTTTTTTCGTATCATTGACATAATCGTAAGGAAGGGAATATATTTGGTGAATATATTTGTTGCTTTGCCGTGATATGTGAAAATTAACAGCTACAGATTGGCTCGGATTTCCTCCCGGGTGGCAAGTAATTAGGAAATGTTACCCATAGTCTCGATGCCTCTTAAACTCGTGGTTTTATGTTTGTGTAATCATATCTCATGTTCATATAATAAATTTAATTATCGCCTTGTTGTTCTCTTAGGAGGTCGTAGACATATTTGTCAATATATTTCAAGTGAATCAAACAATGACGTATATATACATTAATATCTAGATAGATACACCGATATATATTTACGTAATCTACACAACTATATATATATATATATATATATATATATATATATAAAAGTGAACATAGAAGTTAAGACTTTGAGGCGACAGTCTGTTTCATACTAAATGCAATCGTCTGGCCTGACGATTGAATCTAGCATGAAGCAGACTGTGGCCTCTAAGTCTTGACTTCTATGTTCACTTTTATATTTACACACGCTCTATCTCTGATATTGAGCATTTTATCCCATAAATATAGCACATCTTAAGACTATATTTCTTCATATATATATATATATATATATATATATATATATATATATATATATATATTTATGTATAAATATATTTATATATATATAATATTAAAATATATTTATATAAAATATATATATATACACAAGTATATATATATATATATAAAATATATTAAACACATATATATATATATATTAAATATATTTATATATTATATTTATATATTAAATATATATATATATATATATATATATATATATATATATATATATATATATTATATGCAAATAAATATGCGAACTGTTTATAAGTATACGCTTAAACATGATGTGTGATAATTTAATTACATAATAATAATCAATTTCACGTACTAAAGCTGAATTAAATTAACAAATATCTTTGCATTCTCCACAGCGTGAATTAAGATTATTTCTTTAAGTATACTGGCTGCCAACAAAGACTATCGAGCCAAGTTTACACTGTTATTTTACACATATCTTGAAGAGGAAGCTTTAAGTATCCAGGCCCTTTTATCAGGTGCATAGTAATAAAGGGATTGCAGCAAGCGTAGATATTTAATATTCAGACACTATCATGAAAAATATTTCATTTAACATTTTCAAAGGCAATATAGAAATAAATTTCGCTTGATAAAATTTAAGAAACAATTTTTTCACTGACCTTACTAATGAACGTTATGGGCTCTTCAGCCTAGTGTAATGGTTAGCAAGCTTATATTGTTTTATTTTGTTTCTTTCCCAATTGCTTCAAATAATGATAATTTATTTCTTCATCTGCTCAGATCTTTCTTCGCTTATTTTTATTCGTTTCTTCTTATACCCACTGCATTTCTACTTTTATTTTATTTCTTACCGGTTTCATTGATATCTTAGTTCGTCATTCCTTTCATTTTTCTATTATTTACTACTTTCCTTATTAATCATTTCCATGTTTCCCCTCATCGCTTTTTTCTTCATTTATTCCTTTCTTTTCTCATTCATTTATTCTTCCCACTATTTATTTTAAGCGTTTTTTTTTCATTTTTACTTTCTTCAGTTCTTCCATCATTCCTTCCATTTTTTTTTATTTATTTATCTATTCCTTTCTTCATTTTTTTCATTTATTTCCTTCTTGTATTAAATGACGCATTTTTATAACATCTATTATTACATTATTTTTCTTTAAGATCCATTCATTCACAAACCAAAAACACGTTCGCTGGAATGTCATGAATTATTCAAACCCTCTACGCCATATTGTTCGTTTCGATTTCAGCTAGTCGATCGATGCGCGCTCCAAAATTCCACGGGTGTATATCTCATCAGATTATCAGATCGGTGTTTTGAAAATAACTCTTAATTTTGCTTACAGCATTTTTTCTAAAATTCGCATCTGCATCTTAGTTATTTATATATACGAGTGTCAATGTTTCAGGCAGGAGTTTCGACTTTTGGAGCACGACGAACTATCCAGAATACAGGGGGCAAATAAAATTTTACCACAAACTCTTAAAGTTTATACTTTCAATGTATTCTCCTAATCAACTATTTGTAAAGACACTTAAAAATTAAAAAAAAACAAACATATTTTTGCACATTTTTTTTTCTCAACATTTAAATTTTTTTGCAGCTTCCTTCAGACATATTAATTTCGGTGGGATGCTTGTGTTCATTTGAGTTTAGATTAAGTCCATGAGTGAAGATTGTACGCACTACACCTATGATGGATTGGGAACTTAATTAAACACTACGTAATACGATAAAATGATTACTTTTTTGTTTTTAATATATATATATATATATATATATATATATATATATATATATATATATATATATATATATATATATGTGTGTGTGTGTGTGTGTGTGTGTGTGTGTGTGTGTGTGTGTGTGTGTGTGTGAAAACGACAGGACGTGCGAAATTTATTTTTACGCCCTCTCTTCACTTATGGCCGTGATAACTTGATAATAAATAGTCCCTGAATGACACAGTCAAAGATGACTAAAGATTAATGAGTGTAATGGGAGCCATCATTGTCGGGCTGTTAAGATATATTTTGGAAACAGTAATCACTTGAAAATGCCCGGACTTTTCCATGTGGTTACCCTCCGAGGAACATTCTTTGAATAAAGTAGACGAAAGAAAAAAAATACATACAAATAAATGTTCGAGGAAAATGACCATGACTAAAAAAAATGTCCCAAACTCTTAAAGTTTAAACTTTCAATGAATTCTCCTAATCGATTATGTGTAAAGACGCTTAGAAATTTTTTTCGATAGGATAGCGTCTCAATTCTAAGCCTGGTTACATGCGAGCAGTGATGTTTTCCAACATTTTACTTAGAACCTTGTATATGGAGAGGAAAATACGAAATATATTAGATCCCTTAATTTGAAAATACTAATAATGAAGTTAATTTTATTATACAACTATAGTTTACATGACGTTATTGCCATTGCAAAAATTTACAAAACATGTATAGGTGAAAACATTTTGGAAAAAAAATCAAAGAATTTCAAGCAAAATGGGCTTACGGCCACATCACATTAAAACATTGGTTTCGCTACGATCACCAAAGTTAAGTAACGACGAGCCTGATCATTACATAGATTGGTAATCACATGGAAATAACAGGTGTTAAAAGCTTGGATATGCGGGTAGTGTAATGAATAATGGCTCGGAATTGTTAATCCGTGATTCGAGTTCCAATTCCTGTTGGGTTCCTTAGATTAACTTATGCGCAGATTCCCTTGGGAAAGGTATGAATCCATCTCTTCTCCATTAGCGATATGTTCATTTGTAAGACTTGTATCACTAAACCATTATTATCTAAAAAAAAATAATAACAATGCATGCCAAATATTTAAATTTCGGAATTAAATATCTCATAGAGATTGATATGCCGCTAAACAGAAATAAAAAAAAAATCAAACAAAATGAGTCTTTTAAAAAGATAAAGCTTTCAAAGTATTAGACACACATCGTAATAAACTTCGCTAAAATTTCTATCTAAAAATGCGGTTTTAATTAAAGTAGAATGTTATTTATATAATTTATTATTTCAATGTATTGAAAGTGAACTAACTTCAGAGCTGTCAAGGGAAAATTTACGGCCAGGTCATAAATTATATAATCTTTCTGGCAAAACTAATGCTATTACAATATAGGATAATTAAAAACAATCAGAGTAAATAAAAAAGTGCTACAAAGCTGAACGATGACTGAGGATTTACCTCGATATACGTCTGTCAACAAATATTTAACGTTTATAATTAAATTTAAGCAAACCTGTATCTTCCTTCTTGTTTGATAATGTTCCCTCATTGATTTAACATTATCAGTGCAATGGAGTCCTTTCGAAAGACGAAAGGCGTAACTTTATTTTTCCTTTTGCGATCCACTTACACACTATTACCATTTCAGTACAATATTCGGATTTCTTCTTCATCATTTGTGGATTCAGTCATCATCAGTGAGTAGTAGTTTCTGTTGACAGGACGTCAAAAATAGACATAGCCTCTTTGAATAACTCCCTGGCCGACTGCTTCTTTTATGATCCATGACAAGTGGCGCACATGGCTATCCATTTTTTCCTGTCTTTAGTTACTCCATGTTTTCATATTTTACCAAAACTCTATGTCCTCGTTTACCATCCATTCAACCAAATTCCTTAAGTATGTAACTGCCAGCTCAAAACTGCGTCTCTTGTGTTTTAAATTCTTTATTTTCCTTATAAAAATGTCTAATTGTTAGTGGAAGTTTATTTGTACCT